TTTAGCATAATAAGGAAATGCAAATTTAAGAAAGAAAGAAAATTTTCATTAGCACACTTCCTTGGTGAATAGGTATTAAAATATATTTGAATGCAGGACACCCCGCTGTTTGGGGAGCTTCACACATAAAAGGTGTGAGTTACAGCCAAATTATCCGGCTGTTTTTTGCTTCTCAGTTTCTACCCCTTAATAGCTGATGGAGATAAATCTGGAAATATTTGAAAAGCATCACATTTGGAAATTATTTGATATCTTACCATCTTGCACACTCTTTCCTTATGGTGAATTACCTCAACTGCCTTTTATTACCGAGGGTATTTGTTGGGTCACAGAATCTTTATTTCTTAAGAGATATTTGCTGCTTCTACTTAAGTCACAATCCTTTGTCACAGGACAATCATTTCCACAGCAACCAACTGTGATGTCACAACTGAAGGGAGGAGGACCCTTAGGAAGGAAAGAAAAAGAGAATGTACTTTTCAGGCTAAGGTTTCTGGGTTTTAAAACCATCACTTCAGAAATCAAAATATTTTAGCAGAAAAACCCCCATGACAAAGCTTCAAGGTCTCAGCTGTGACAAAGACAACATTTCAGTCGAAGTTTAAGGGTTGCATGTTGTGGGTTTGGGAAGGGGTAGAGATTTTTATTTCCTTTCATTCTAATTCTGTGCCACTGATACCTGCCAGTAAAATACATTAAATATATTCCAGAAAGAGTTGATTTAGTAGATGAAAAATGTGTCTCCCGAGACCAGAGAAGGTACATTTTCTGTCGTGCTATCATTTCCATAATAGGAACAATGTTTACATTTCTGCAGCCCATGCAGTGCCTCTAATGTATTCGTGTTCTTTCACTCTCCAGAGGCAGGAATTGAGGTCTTTGAGATTTTATTTTTTAGCCACTGCATCAAGCACTTAAGATCTGACAATTGTGATGTGTATTCTCACTTGGCATTAAAAAATAAAAGCTTCAGTGTTTGCATTTGATTAGAGTAGCTCAGCTGGGTGGCTGATTAAGCAGGAATAGTGAAAGCACCTTCCTTCGGAAACACTGATTCCTGGTTAATGTAGTGTAAGATTATGGACGGGTGTAGTCACGTAATTTTTATTAAATTGAAGAGATTAGCTCTGCTGAAAAATCTCACTGTGACAGCAAACTCTAGGTGCAATAATGGGACCTAACACTTAAACCCACTACAGGGCCCCAAATGGTCTTATTTCTAAATCTTCTTTCAGTTCCAATGAGAGAGCTTCATTCAAATATTCAGCATATTCACCTGAAATTGACTTTGCACTGTTGTTGTTTTTTTTTTTGAGAGGTGATGCAAAATCAGCACAAACATTTGTAGTCTGTGAACTTTAGCTTTATTCTCTCAGTGTAAATAAAAACGACACACACTGTCTTTCCTCTAGTTGCTTGAAAGGGAAACATACTTTTCCCCAGACAGAGGCTCGGGTGGCCACAAGGGGGTCATCGTAAAACATCCCAACTGGAAGCCTAGAGTGTTGTGTGATTTGTTCGGTTAACATGCGTAAAATTGTTGCCTCTTCCTCCAGACTCAGGATAACTTAGTTATCCCAATTCTAGGAGGGGAAGATTAAAAAGCCATAATGAGGGAAAGAAAGATAAATAACTTTTGAAAGCCAAAACCTCCCATATTCCATGGAGTGAAGCAGGGTAGAAAGTGCAGGTACTGGAGAGAGTGAACAGCACTTTTCCTTCCTTCCTTCCTTCCTTCCTTCCTTCCTTCCTTCCTTCCTCCCTCCCTCCCTCGCTCCCTCACTCGCTCCCTTCCTTTCTTTCTTTCTTTCTTTTTTGAAAAGGAGTCTCACTCTGTCGCCCAGGCTGGAGTGCAGTGGTCTGATCTCCGCTCCCTGCAACCTCCGCCTCCCAAGTTCAAGCAATTCTTTACCCTCAGCCTCCAGAGTACCTGGGATTACAAGCCCCTGCCACCACGCCCGGCTAATTTTTTTATTTTTATTTTTGGTATTTTTAGTAGAGACGGGGGTTTCACCATCTTGGCCAGGCTGATCTTGAACTCCTGACCTCGTGATCCACCTGCCTTGGCCTCCCAAAGTGCTGGGATTACAGGCATGAGCCATGGCAGCCGGCCTGAACAGCACTTTTTTAGACAACAAAGAAGGCTACAAATGGAGTCCATTTACATACTGCACACGAAGGGATTGGGGAGGATTAATTAGTTAATGTTTGGCAAGCTGAGCTTGGAAGACAAGTTGTGCAGAGGTGCTATTGTCACTTATTACTGTTATTAATTAACAAGGTGAATGCTAAACAAAAACAAGCCTCGGGGTGTGCTTTCATTTCTTAACGCCATATGCGATGTCTATTGCAGGAGTGATTCGGGAAAGTTACCTCAAAGGCCACGACCAGCTGGTTCCCGTCACCCTCTTGGCCATTGCAGTCATCCTGGCTTTCGTCATGGGGGCCGTCTTCTCGGGCATCACCGTCTACTGCGTCTGTGATCACCGGCGCAAAGACGTGGCCGTGGTGCAGCGCAAGGAGAAGGAGCTCACCCACTCGCGCCGGGGCTCCATGAGCAGCGTCACCAAGCTCAGCGGCCTCTTTGGGGACACTCAATCCAAAGACCCGAAGCCGGAGGCCATCCTCACGCCACTCATGCACAACGGCAAGCTCGCCACTCCGGGCAACACGGCCAAGATGCTCATTAAAGCAGACCAGCACCACCTGGACCTGACCGCCCTCCCCACCCCAGAGTCCACTCCAACGCTGCAGCAGAAGCGGAAGCCCAGCCGCGGCAGCCGCGAGTGGGAGAGGAACCAGAACCTCATCAATGCCTGCACAAAGGACTTGCCCCCCATGGGCTCCCCTGTGATTCCCACGGACCTGCCCCTGCGGGCCTCCCCCAGCCACATCCCCAGCGTGGTGGTCCTTCCCATCACGCAGCAGGGCTACCAGCATGAGTATGTGGACCAGCCCAAAATGAGCGAGGTGGCCCAGATGGCGCTGGAGGACCAGGCAGCCACCTTGGAGTATAAGACCATCAAGGAACATCTCAGCAGCAAGAGTCCCAACCATGGGGTGAACCTTGTGGAGAACCTGGACAGCCTGCCCCCTAAAGTTCCACAACGGGAGGCCTCCCTGGGCCCCCCGGGAGCCTCCCTGTCTCAGACCGGTCTAAGCAAGCGGCTGGAAATGCACCACTCCTCTTCCTACGGGGTTGACTATAAGAGGAGCTACCCCACGAACTCGCTCACGAGAAGCCACCAGGCCACCACTCTCAAAAGAAACAATACTAACTCCTCCAATTCCTCTCACCTCTCCAGAAACCAGAGCTTTGGCAGGGGAGACAACCCGCCGCCCGCCCCGCAGAGGGTGGACTCCATCCAGGTGCACAGCTCCCAGCCATCTGGCCAGGCCGTGACTGTCTCCAGGCAGCCCAGCCTCAACGCCTGCAACTCACTGACGAGGTCGGGGCTGAAGCGTACGCCCTCACTAAAGCCGGACGTACCCCCTAAACCTTCCTTTGCTCCCCTTTCCACATCCATGAAGCCCAATGATGCGTGTACATAATCCCAGGGGGAGGGGGTCAGGTGTCGAACCAGCAGGCAAGGCGAGGTGCCCGCTCAGCTCAGCAAGGTTCTCAACTGCCTCGAGTACCCACCAGACCAAGATGGCCCGCGGCAGAGCCGAGGACGAGCCGAGGACGCTGGGTCCTCCTCTCTGGGACACAGGGGTACGCACGAAAATTGGGCCGCGTGGTTTGGTGAAGGTTTGCAACGGCGGGGACTCACCTCCATTCTCTTCCTTCACTCTTCCCCCACACCCTACAATAGGTCGGTCCCACAAAAGACTTCAGTTATCATCACAAACATGAGCCAAAAGCACATACCTACCCCATCCCCCATATACACACACACATGCACACAACACACACACACGCACAGAGGTGAACAGAAACTGAAACATTTTGTCCATAACTTAACGGGACGTGGCCACACTGGGTTTGCGTTCCAACCTGCAAAACACAAATACATTTTTTAAAATCATGAAAATTTAAAAAGACAAAAAAAAGAATTCATTGATAATTCTAACTCAGACTTTAACAATGGCAGAAGTTTACTATGCGCAAATACTGTGAAATGCCCGCCAGTGTTACAGCTTTCTGTTACAGCAGATAAATGCCATGTTGGGCAACTATGTCGTAGATTTCTGCTCCTCCTCTCTTTTAATGAAATAACGTGACCGTTAACGCAAGTAACTCTTTATTTATTGTTCACCCTGTTTTTCCTTAAGGAAAGGACTCTTCCAGATATCATCCTATGAACAGCTCTTCCGAAAGCCCATTGAAAGTTAAACTATTTAACGTGAAAACCATTAACTGGAATGATTGAGTTTCTTTATTTTTACAATAAATTCACTGAGTAAATAAGTTGGAGCTGGAATTCTGAGCTTTGTGTTTGGACTGTCTGGTCTGTAGCTAAAGGAAAAAGTTAGGAGAGGAATATTTATTTAAATCTATCAGTTCATTTGCTGGTCAGGTCTCTGGCCTATAAACATGCAAAAAAATTAATTCATGTCAAAGTCCTTCCAGATCCTAATTTCTAAAGCAATCAGGAGAGAAGCTTTTAGAATGGCACATCATATCCTATTGGTGCCAACATGGTTTTGTCCATGGTTCCGACTTTCTGTGAAGGCACCAGCTTGCAATATGCCATCTCATTTCATGTTGCATGTGAGACAGCAAACAAAATCCACAAACGGTGTGAACTAATTAATATGCTGGCTGCTACCTTGCATAAATTAATGATTTGATCACACGGGTTCTTCGTGGGGTTACATCTGTGAATAGCCTGTTTTCCACATGTAAATTTGTGCCTTACACCTTGAGTTGTGTACATGTGTAAACTGTCGTTATGATCAACTTTTCCCCCTTTTGAAATAAGTGCAGATATTTATTTAACCCTCCCTTCCCCCCACCCCCCCTCCAGCCCTCTGGAAAACTGGAGTCAAGCAGATGGAAGAATGCAGTGGTGATAGTTGTCATGCTACAGCCTGAGAACGCTGGGCAGCACCACACCCTCCAATGCACACTGCCTTCTAGTTGTGCCAACTCGAACCACCCTTTGGCTGTGCTGCCAAGCATGGACCCCAGTGTTGTGGGTGGGAAATCCCCTTTCATCCTCGAGAGCTCCCTGCTTCCCTTAGATTATTTCAATACGGTGATTAGCAAATAAGGATTTGCTAGCAGAAAAGGGACTAACGTCCCATTCCTCTTTTCTGCTGTGTCCACTGGCTAGAGAGCAGGCTGTGTGTGGTTGGGCAGACACCTGGGAGGAGTCCCCAAGCCATGTGCATAGCACACACATGCAGTGCACACAAAGAAATGACATGGAAATAGATGCAGGCAGGCTGGTCCCTGCTGTGATTAATGAGTAACTCCAGGTACAAGTCCGACCACAATGGATGCTGCAAAAACGTTGACTGGGGCAAAGGATTTTTTGTTTTATTTTTTATTTTGTTATTATTGTTTTTAGGGGATGGGAGGTGATGTGTGTTTTTCTCCCCTTGGTTTTCATTTGCTCAATACAAAAGGGACTTTTGTTTACTCTATCATGAACAAAGGAACTGTCCACATACTGTAAACCATGAGCAGTGTTGTTGTTTTAAACAGTTATACAGTATATTTGGTGGTCTCTTTGTCTGTTTTTATTTCCAGTTGGATCTTCTGGGTTTAGTTTTGTCTTTAAAAAGAATTCAAAAAAAGACTGACAATGACAGTTTTGAGTTGGATAGTGAAAAAGTGGAGCCTCCATAATCAGTTGGTTGCCTTCAGACCTAAGTACTTAGCTGAGGGTGAGAGCCCTTTGTTCCAAAAGTCCATTGCAGTTTTGCTGTTGTTTAGGGGTAGGTGATGGTGGTGGTTGTTTTCACTTTTTTTTTTTTTTGGCTTTTGTAATGGAATCCATGTTCACATCCTGTAAACTCTGTCCCCTGAAACCCTGAAGTATTTTCTAGAAATTGAAATACTGTTTTCTTCCTTGAATTTTCTCTAGAAATGCAGAAATTAGGAAGGCGATGGGTCTGTATCCCCCGACCCCTTCTTTCCCATGCTTGACTCCCGAGAGTACTGGCTGTACAGCACCCATCATTGACATGAGCGGCTGTCTTGTCCAGTATTTGTGGGCCTCACTGCCTCAGCTGTTAAGGAGACCTGTGTCAAAACTTACATCCACATTCCTACGCCCCCACAACCCATCACTTCTGGTGTTAACCCTAAAATACCCACATGTATTGAGCTGGTCTTCTGCATTTAAGTATTTCTTCCCATTTGTTTTCCCCACTGTGTGTGGGGGGAGGGTCCATAAACCCGAGTGTGCCTTTGCTTTCCACCCTTGCTAGACACTGGTAGATGCAACAAATTCAGATTTGTATTTGTTATAAAGTTGTAAAAATATTGTGATGTCACCAATTTTCCTTCCATCTCCACATCCCCTAACATCTGATTCACGACTTAATGTATGTTGTAAAAAAGGAAAAAAAAAAAAAAAGAAAGAAAGAAAGGGAAAAAAGGAAAAAAGCAAGGAAAAGGCTCTTTATTACTTAAAAGTAATAAAACCTGACTGTTCTACATTATCTTTTGTGTCCTGAATGCTTTTATTTATCTCTTAATTTTTCCTTTTCAAGCTGCTCTCCCCACCCTTTGTGGGTATGATTCTACGCTTTCCTCCATTTCTATCTGGCTTCCAAAGCGTACATAACTATAGAGTTTGATGTATTTGTTTGCAGTGTCCACACCCAGCCACCCCCACCCAAATTATTGACGGTTTCTCTGCTCAAACCCAGCCTGGAGCAGGAATTTAGCAGAAGCCATCGGTAATTAAAAGGCAGAGCACGCATTGGCTCCTTCTATTCATTTTATGCATTTTCTTTTTATGGGCTTGTTCATCATCAAACATTTATGGTAGGCTTGATAGTTTAAGAGATCAAGGCTAGGATTTTAGTATGTAGGGTCCACTAAAAATAGATCTTTGCACAGATGTGACTTCAGTCTTTTTACATATTAATAAGGTGGAGGGGGCTGGATTTTACTCCTTGTTAGCATTTATCTTTTGTAACCCAGTAGACACGGTTGGAGGTATATTGGGACACAGCGCTTGATTCTTCTTTTGCAAAAGAGCATTATGAAATGCCTAGATCAGGTTTTCCTCTAGGGGTGTTTTTAAAACAATTATTTTAATAAGTCTTCAGCTATAGTATTTTACTTTTGACCCTCTGACTTTTTTTTTTTTTTTTTTTTTTTTTTATGTTTTAAGTCAGTTGAGTGTGGGAAGCTGCAGGTTGAGGCCTCAGTTCATACCTATAGTAACCCAGTAACCTTTAGATTGCCATCTCCAATTGTGTTTCTTGAATTACATCCATAGCGCCTGGCTCTGTTAGGCACAAAGTTGACTAGAATGTAGTTTCTACCTCCTCATTTGCAAAGAGAGACTGACATGGCCATTGTAGTTGCCATTTGGAGGTAAGAACAAAGTACTGATGAAGCTCCCTAGATGTTAGGGTCACAATATTTGTGCTGGTTCTTAAAGAACGAGTTCTCTGAACAACTAGCCCAGGCAGAGGGGACATCCTTTGCAAAGGCACCAAGTGTGCTCTTTGGGAAGCAAAAGGTTCAGCAGGCCTTGTGCGGGGTCTGTGAGAGAGCTTGGCAGGGCAAGTCCAGGAAAGGGGGGTTGGAGACAGGCCAGGAGGGACCTGGTTCCCATATGCTAGGATTTTAGCTGAAGCAGGAGTGCTCCCCTGCTTTGGAGTAAATAAAACAACAGACACTTGTGCTTGGGAAAGCTACTTGGCCATTATGTGGGAAGTGGATTGGCCCAGAGAGGGACGGCAGGTCAGCTGGGCAGTTTGCCAGATGGCATGTCAAGTGTGTAAGAGCAACACAAGTGAAAACCCCACATCCAAGGTCAGATTCTTTAGGACAGACTCAGCTCTGTGATCATCCCTTTTTGCCAGAAAGAACTTCCGTGGTATGTAATTGGCAGGTTAGCTCTGCCCGGTTATACCCAAATGTCTGGTTATACCAAACTGACAGAACGACCAACATCTAGCATGACCCTTTCATTTTAAAAATGGGGGAAGCTTTGCAAGGCTGAGGCGGGTGGATCACGAGGTCAGGAGATTGAGATCATCCTGGCCAACGTGGTGAAACCCCGCATCTACTAAAATGCAAAAAATTAGCCAGGCGTGGTAGCGTGTGCCTGTAGTCCCGGCTACTCGGGAGAATAGGGGAATCGCTTGAACCCTGCAGGCGGAAGTTGCAGTGAGCTGAGATTGTGCCACTGTACTCTAGCCTGGTGACAGAGCAAGACTCCATCTCAAAAAAAAAAAAAAAAAAAAAAAAAAAAAATCCTGGGGGAAGCTGAGGTCCGCTGAGTGAAAGGATTTGCTCATGCTCCAAAACTAGTGGTAGAGCAGCTATTCTGAAAACAAATTCATAGTCTCTTTCCCCCATTCATTCAGATCAGTAGAGTAATACTAGCTAGAAAGATTTGATCCCACTCACCTATCTAGATAGCATCCCCATCTTTCTCAGTCATCCTTTCTCATAGGAAGCCCTTCATACACACCCACCCTTCACCAGCTGGGCTTCCTAGATCCCCTCATCTGGGCCAAGGCCAGGGGTTGGAAAGAAGCTTGGATCATGTAGGCTTGAAGCATACAGTCCCCGCAGTGCAACCTGATACTTGGTCTCGTGGCTTTTGCTGCAGTCAGCTTTGTTCTGGGCTGCTGAAGAGGTGAAAGAGGCTGAACAGGTGTAGCCAGTATTTTATCTGGGGCCCCGGGGATGTCCCTGCTCAGACACAAAAACTGCCTCAGACAACCCTGATTTTTTATTGTGTTTGCTTGCTTGCTTGATTTTTACAAGGTTAAAGGTTTCTGCAGTGCTTTTAGACTGTTTTTCCAAAGCAGTGGCTGTCCTGATGCAGCTACCAGGCTAGGTGTTTCATGGGATCAGAGATGACATCTTGGACCTGAATGTTTTCCTCAAGGGCCATGTCAGATAAACACAAAAAACTGGTCTCATTGTTCAGCCTTGTAATTTGGCAGAAGCCAAATCAGATGCTCCTGGACCCCAGCGCCTAGGTTTTACTGCCTGAACAAAAGCTCTTTCAACAAAAAGTCATTCAGCAAGTAAAAGTGTCAGAAAAGCACCTCTCATTTCAGACACTGGTACATTTTGCTTGAGGGGAAGTGGTGAGGGGAATTTAAAAGAACCCTTTAGTAACAAAATAACATGATTAAGAGCATAATCCTTTTCCTGGCTCAGCCCTGTGACAGCTGGGTGCTTGGACTCAGTAACCCTTAGAAACCCACATCTCTCCCTTGTCTTAAAACCAGGTGATGACGTGTCTCTTCTACAGAAGTGGGAAGGAAGGGCTCACATTTATTGATTGGGACTGTCAGACAGATGGGGATCTTCAATATTCCATTTAGAGTATTGTGTATCCCTCACTCTAACCCCCCCGGGGAAGACTGGAGTTAGGGGGCAGTTGACCTCTACTGATGTGCATTAAATGTGGCTGGCAGGGAAATGTGCAGATGTCCCTCTAGCAAATGGAAATGAAATTTGAGCAAATCAAGAGAGGCAGCTGAATAGTGGGGGGTTTCTCATTCCCCTCTGCAAACACATCTATGCACACATGTGCATACACAAATGTCACGGGGCTTTTTCCTCTTGGTGTCTAGTATCAAAAATGTCACAGAGGTTGGAACCCATGTATACTGACCAAGTGGTCCTTTTGGGAGGGCGTTCTACCCTTTCCCTGGCAAAACATGGGTTCCACTTAAGCACTTTCTGGTCAAAGGTGAGTGTCATAAACTACGGTTTAAGAAATGGGACCCAGGACGTTTGCAGAGGAGATGAGACACAGGTCCCTGCTAGCCCACTGGCACTGGCTGAGGCAGCTAACAACTTTTTCATTCTTCCTAATCACCTTCAGATAAAAGACTCTCTTGAGAATCATTAACGTCATTCCCAAAGCAAGTCATCCCTCCTGCTAACAGGCTGCAATAATGGTCCAAATAAGGGGAAGCTAATGAAGGGGGAAAGTTGGTAACCATGAAATCAGAAGCACTTTTCATTGACGGATTTCAAGAGGAACAACAACAACAACAACAACAAAACAGATGAGGGTGACATTGTATAAAATATCAAATGCCAGGACACTAACATGAAAGAAACTCATGCAGATTCTTAGGGGTTTCCTAGGATGAGAAAGATGATGAAAAACCATTTCATGAGCCAACCACTCTCTTTTTTCCTGTGCATCACAACTGCCCTTACCACACACATTATGGGGTGCTCAGAAAGTGGGCTGCTCTTAGCAAACTTCATATTAGTTCCCTGGCATGAATACTGAACATTTTGCACATCTAGTCCCATGTCAAAGCGGAAGTGTGAATTTCAGTAATATGGCTAAGGTTTATTTAATAAAAAATGAAAAGTGGAAGGGTCCCCCCCACCCCCTAGAGGGGGGCAGGGCTTCCAATTGTCAACAACAATGACATTTTGCATTTGTAGCACTTTACAGCTTGCAGATATAATCTTGTCCATTATGTTGCTTAATCCTAATAACAGCCTAGTGGGGTGGGCAGCATATATATGATTGTTTCCACTTCAAAGAAACAGGAGTTTAGAGAGAAGGGATCTATTGAGCACTGATCAACATAGTAATGTAGTCATATTTCAAAAACCTGTGTGTCCACATCACCCCCCTCAGCTCTCTTGGGGACACCTTAGGTTACACAATTACTCCGCTTCACTGAAGGGGAAGAGTCTCCTACAGCATTTCCCAGGGGAGACCGTTACAACAATAAAGTCCCCAAAATAAAGGCTAGGCACACACATTCTATTTTAAGGGCATTGTGCTCTAATATTTTTGCATCGTTAAAGAACACAATCTTCCTTCCTGCGTCTGCAGAGCCCTGATGCCAGCAGTGTTATTAGGAACTGTCAACAAAGCAGGAAAAGAGGGAGCTGGAGCCCAAGTCAGGACCTCCCTTCTGGGGGCGCACCCTGCCACTTTAGGGACTGTGACACCAACTGCCTCTGTGAAAGAAAAAGGATGAAAGCCTCAGCTTTTGTAGCTGCTTCATCCTGTTCAGTCCACAGAGATCACAAAAAAAAGTTTAGGAAGCTTGTAAGAACCCAGGATGAATCAGAAGCAGAGAAGAAGAAATGCCCTGTACCTAGAAGGGTGAAGAACTTGTCCAGCCTCAGAACATGGAGGTAAAGTTAGTTTGAAAGTAAGAGACATGTAAGAAATATCCACTGTTGTCATTTCACTTCAGCTCCACGGTCACTGTAGCACAATGGGTACCAAAGCAACCATCTGACTTTACCCCTGATATCGATGATTGAATGATTTGGTTGAGTGCCTAGAAAAATCTTCCACTAGGAGACAGAAGAGAGAGCTCAGCTCTACTTAGGGATCCGTCTTCCTCCTCCATGTCGCTACCCCTCATTCCACGTTGCTACTGCCACAGACAAGCCTTCCTTGAGTTAGTGAGCTGTAAGTGCGTGTGGTGCAAGACAGACAGCACCATCTTCTCTGGCGTGGGTGCCCAGCCTT